CGGTCAACGAAATTGTCAGGACGTAAATGACACACAACTATCATACGTCAGGACACAAATGTCATATCGAATACTTTAGGACACAAATGACACAAAATTAATAGTTCGGGTTTCCTAGTGGTATTAGCCCTTCTTTTTTTAAGGAATAAATGAGAAACAAATAGATCATTGTGAATACAAAATACCCTTCTTATTTTCACTCTAGTTGCAGGAAAATTTGAATAGGATTGAAGTTACAATATCCAGCTATATATATATTGCTATATGAATGATGAGTGACGAGATGACGCCATCTATTTTGATTTCCTCCACTTTTATTCAGGGGCGGAGCCAAGAATCGACGATCGGGGGGCCGGAAATATTTTTGTATGTTATCGCAAAATGACTTAAAAAAATTTAAAATTAATTTTATATTATTATAACGTCACAAATTATTCATTGAAACGATTAACATCACTTTGTAAACTAACTTTTTAAGCAATGAGTTCAATATAAATTAAAAATAATAATTAACAATACATTTCGATATTGTATTGCACATATGTTTTCATAATTAAGAGATATGTCTTACACGAATATTTAAAAGAAATTGTTGTTGTATATACATATGCTTAAAGCTGCTAAAAGTATTGCTTCCCTGAGAGTAGTTAAAAGAAATCGGTAGGAAATAACTGGCAAAAAATACTTGCTTTGCGTGAGAATCGAACCAAATCGAACCAAGGACATAGTAAGAGCAAAACAGCCCGCCTTCCGCTACGCCAAGAGTCTGTTTTGTCAAATTAATGCATATTAGAAAATTTTTAATAATTTCATTTTATTTATACGTAAATTGCCCGAGTATTTTATACGTAATTTTCAAGATTCTCAGGGGGCCTCGGCCCCCGAGCACTGCTGTAGCTCCGCCCCTTCTTTTACTAACATAATAATAGCAATATCTTGTCCAGAGTTTGTACCCCTGCGTTGACCCCTTTGTGAGGTTCAAGAGATCATCAACAAAAACAAGATGGCTAGTAAGCCAAACAATATTTACCAATATTAATACGCCCCTGGGGGTGTATGTTATCAAAGTCTTCTGTTTTTTACAACGTAAATGGAGGGCTATTTATAGCCAATAAAACCTAATACAAATCTAGATGAACCAGGAAACAATTAAGGTAAAAACAAACTCTAAAAAAGGACTCAAAATTCGGCCATAAACTTCCTTTCTTGACGCACAAGTAATCTGCCCGCAAAACAGTCAAAAGGCAGCTTTCGTACTAACTTCGCGCCTTTTGTTCGAGGCCTTCCCGAACTCCAATTCTTCATCCAATTCCTTCCCTTTGTTCACAAACATACCTAGTTTCATGTTGTGGAATCCTTTGGACTTGAATCAGATCCATACGCCTCTAATCAAGCTCCAAAGTAGGCTTCACAAAACAGTTTCCAGTTTTCCAGTTTTGAGGTAGCAACTTTGAGGCCTTGGAAAACAACCTTATTGACATCATCTGGATCCAAAAAGCATACCATTGGAAACATGACAACTTTATCTGCAAAACAAACCCTTGATCTCGAATTTCCATTGATCCATTTGTGAGATACAAGCTTCCAAAGTAGGCTACCTGAAACTGTTTCAACACTTAACCAAAAATCAGAATGCTTCAAGTGAATTGAGATGACTTCTTTGGCAAGTAATTGTGAATTGTGGATTGATCCAATTGGGATCATATCAAATATTCCACAGTGGTCAGAAAGACCTGGTACGTAGTAACACCTGGACATTACTTCTAGATAGGATTGTTAATAATCCGAGTCGAGTCAAATTTTGTCATAGTTCGGGCTCGGCTCGTTAATATATTTCAAGATTCGAGTTCGGTTCGAGTTCGCGTCACGAGTTTTAATATACAAGTTCGAGCTCGGCTCGTTGATGAAAATGAAAGCTCGAGCTCGGCTCGCCAAATAAGATTGACGAGCCCAAAATCGAGTTCCGCACATAAAATGTTCATTATAAAAAAAATTCAAGTTAGGTAACTGGCATAAATAAAAAACGTTAAAAAATATGTTAGAATCAATTCAGACCGTCGATTACCAAAACGCGGTACGTAACTAGTACAACAGGTAAATGGTTATGGAACGCGGCAATTGTCTCTTATTAATGGCTCAACACTTTATGTAACACAGAATTAATTTTTCATAACGTAAAAGGATCATCCATTACGTAAGGTTTCTGTCTAATGACACTTTACAACTTTTTACATAAAATGCACATCAATTACGTAAAGGTTACGTAACGATAGTAATTTTTACATAACACTCAAATCACCCAAAGCTCGCGTTATGCTTATGCATGATTTCCGTAATGACTCAGCACTTTACGTAACACGAGGTTAACATTTCATTATGTAAAAGGACCAGTTCATTTCTGTCAGGCTTCACGCGTAACCATAACGCAACGTCGATAGTATTTTATGTAACGCAATTAACTACCTGTGAAACCTGCTATAATGAGGAAATAATTCGTAAGTTAGCTTACGGAAATTCTTACCTAATTCCGTTATATGTCAATAGGACCCGCGACTGCTGCACAGCATGCTCTGTTTTTAACCGCCGGCCGAATTCATCATCATTCATCGTACGTGGTCGGTGGTCCTCGAATTCATCATCGCCGCCGGTGGACTTTTTTTTTTAATGAGACGGCTAAAGTCTTGGGACTCGTCGACGACCGTGGATTTGTGAAGGAAAACTACTCTGATAATTATGCAATTTCGAACATGACATGGATTCATGCAGTTTGTCGCGGGATATAAGGAGAAGACAGGACTGCAACTAGTATGTTGTGTGCTGCGTGTTGTCCTTTTTTTTTTCAAATGTCGTGACAAATATAACACAACATAAATGGCTGCCACTACAAATTCCTTCCCCACTCAATTAACAACAAAATTAAGATGAGAGCAACTATAAATCAAACGGAGACAACTAGAAAATGTTTTTTTTTCTTGCCACACTATAGCCAGTTTGATCGGCAGGTTTGGGGACAACTTTCACTTGCTAAACCGTTAGTTGGTTAAGAAATATAATAGCCGATAATTGACTATACGGTTACGGTTAAATAATTAATATAAATAATGTGATTACGGGTAACCCAAAATTATTTTACGAGTAATCGATAACCAAATACACAATTACGATTATAAACGAGTCGACTAATATCTCTAGAATTTCCCGTAAAAACAAATCCAGGGAATATTGATAAAAAAACAAATCCAGGGAATGACGTCAAGGATCTCCATTACATAATATGAGTGATCAGTCACGAGGACGAAACCATCTATTTTGATTTGTTCCACTTTTATTAACTTAATAATATCTTGTTTTCCACAAATATTTACATGAGATGATTTTTTATTGTTATCATAGCTATTCCATTAAGATTTTCTGGTATGATTTTTTAAATAAAGTAGGATTTTTAAAACACAAACAATACTTTAACAATTATTATACATAGTGTATGTATACATGAGACTAACACTAATATTAATTAATATAATGATACTTGCTAACATACACATAATCAATTAATCACATTACAAATACAACCTAAAATATAAGATCGAATTAACTAATAGCTCCCCTTTAAAACAATGGACCAATTTTCAAGTTTCGATGATCTTTAGGATGTGCTCAATTTCTTTTGATCACAAACCATAAATACCAATATTCTTGCAATGAATGCGTTGAGTGACGATGGTATAAAACACACTTTCTCACGAACACAAGATTTTGTTTGGTGAATATCTGGTGTTTGAGACAGGATACTCTGACCTAATGCGCTCCTCCGTAGCGTTACTGTGATTCAACTAGGATGCCTAGATCCTGCACAAGGGGCTAAATCGGTCCGTTAGCACTCCGATAATCAAGCCACTTGAGTTCAAGAGAAATAAGTAAATGAGAGAATTTGATCCCTTAAATGCCACTTACACTATTTATACTCATCGAGATTCCGACCAAACCCCTGAAAACCCGTGATATATCAACAACGTATTTAATGTTCCGTACGGCGCAATGACTATGCGCCCAAACCACGTGTCAGTCTTTTCTCTTTTCTGCCGGGGCGCCGAGCAGGGACCATTCCCGCCATACTTCTTTGTCCGCATTCTTGATTGTTGTTATGCGCCCTTCTTTAGGACCCGTGATGGGCTCATTGTTGCCACTCCACCCATCAGTTCAGCCCAAGATAGCTTTCTCCTCTACTTGGGCCTTTACCTTGTTAGGCCCATTCATACTAACCCAACATCTGGAAAGTGGAAAGTCATGTGAGTCGAGATCAGGAATGGCTAATGTTTGTGCCACGTAACCCGCCGCTCCCAATGGCTCTCACACACCGCCTATCTCTCGCACGCTTCTGCTCCACGTCCCCCTCCTGCACACAAAGGCACCCACCGAGCCCCCTTGGCAAGGGCTCGTTAGCACTCCAACGCCCAAGTCAGAACGATCTTTCTAGAGAGAGAAGTGAGATGCTAGTTTTAGAGAGAAGTTCTAACCTGAGTAAATGAGCTTCACCCACTTCACTATTTATACCCAGGGCAGGGTCGACCACTGCCCCCAAATCCGCCCCACGTCATCATCTCATTAAATGCACTGTACATTTCCCCTTCCATGCGCCCCGACACTCTGACACCGACTTTTGACATGGAGGCGCATGGCCCCACCTCATGTCCCCTCCGTACGCTTTCGGCCGTTGTCCCCCTTTTGTTGCCATGCGCTTTACCTCAGACCCGGTCCCACTGCCTAGGTTACAACCTCTAGCCCCTTTTTGGGCTGGGCTTTCTTCCTGCCAGGCCCACACCTTCAGCCCATTTCGACCTCCTGGGCTCCTTGCTTGGGCCATTCACTGTATGCCCCCAACAGCTAATGATAAATTAACTCGCCAATCGCGATCAACCCTGGACTAAACCGACAGCAAAGTAAAATATAGGTACCAATTCGCAAAAGAAGTCGCATTTACGGATTTACCCTGCCGCGAACTGGAAAAGAAAAAAGAAAAACGAGGGAAGGGAAAAGAAAAAGAAATACAGAATTTCATCCGCAAGCAAGACAAAAAGAAAAAGGCACAAAAAATATAAAATAAAATAAATAAAAACAAAATAAACTGAACGGACTGTTTTAGAGAGAGAGAGAGAGAGCGAGGAAAGAGAGGTGAAGAAAGAGGAGAGAGAAGGGAGAAGGGGGAAAAACAGAATGGGTAAGGCGGCAGCAACGGCGGAGACAATGACGAAGAAGCGGAAGAAAAAGGGACGGCCTTCCCTTCTCGACCTCCAAAAGCGAGCTATCAAGCAAGAATTGCAGCAGCAGCTGCAGCAGAAGAATCACCAGAATCCTCCGCCCAAAAATCGCAATCAAAACCCTATTCGTCAAAACCCTAATTCCCACCTCAATTCCCGCCGATCCGCCCGCCGGAACCCTCATTCTGGCGGTGAAGATGACAACGGAGATGGAGATGACGACGATGATGAGAGGAAGGAGAAGAAGCACAAGCTTCTGCTCGGCCTGAATTCCCAGCAGCAGCAGCAAGCGAATCCCCTTTTCCGTTCCAATTCCTCTGCCTCTAATTCTTACGGGTCGGGTTCCGATAATCCCGAGGTGGGTGCGTTGGCCATCGTCAAGCACCGCCAGATCGGAGGTGTCCGCCCCGGATCAGATGAAACGGTGATTCAATCAACTCTCCCATTCCCGTCGATTGTTAGATTAATCAAAATTAGCCCTTGTTTTGGGCATTTCGCAATTGTGAATGTGGGGATTTTCGCGGGTAAATTTTCAATTTTGTGGGTTGCTGAATTCGGATGAGCGTGGAAGTTTTTGACTGGGTCAGGGGGTTTTCTCGATGGTTTATTTCTTTTTTTTTTAAAATAAATATCTCATCTCCTCTCTTTATCCTTTTGGAAATTCTCGGTTTTGTTCCCCATTTGATTTCCTTTTTGTTTTGGGTTTAATAAATATACATATTCTTTTTCTTAGTGTTATATGTATTGAATGAAGTTTCTGATCTCAAATAATGGAGTGGAATGGAATGAACGGTAAGAAAGGTGCAAAAGAAAAGAGTCCCCTCTTGTCTGAAAAATAAAGTTCATGTTTGTCCTTTCTCTAATTTGAGATGTTCAGTTCCTCTCAGTCATTTTAGCTTCTGTACTTTCTCCCACCCTTTTACTGTAACTTTGCTCAGAGCTTCTTCTTCTAAACCCAGAAGATGAGATGATATGCCAGTTCGGTAGCTACCTTGCTTTAATTTTAGTTTATCTCTTTTCCCACTTTCCCTTTCTGCTTTTTCCAGGTTGGGATGGTGAGACTCTTGAAGGAAAGCTTTGCTATTACTATAGTTATACTGCGGCTATAATCTCTGTAAATTGAGTATTGTATATAATGGAAGGTGTTGCTGGGTTTTCCCTTTTGCAGGGTGAAAAGTTTTGGAAAGCGACGGACACTCTTCATGGTATGGTTGGTTTCAATCAGTCTTCAACATCCATGGGAAAAAAGGCGGTTTCTTGGATATATATTTATATAATTTTGTGGGTTTTTTCTTCTTGGGAAGACTGTATTTAGTAATTAATTGGTGAACTCATTCCCTTGCATTTGTCTATCTGTACAGGGTTATCAGGGGAGGAGCCCGGTCCCACGACGACACCTTTGCCAGACAAAAAGTTGTTGGTCTTCATTCTTGACAGACTTCAAAAGTGGGTCTCTTGTTTATAAGCTTCTCAGAGGGATTTTCCCCCGTTCTCCCCGTTTGATTTTGTTCCAAACGTATCCTTTTGTTCTTTTTAACGCCATTCACTGCTGTTGGGTTCTTACTTCGTACTGGTATTTGTCTTTTGCAGAAAGGATACCTATGGAGTCTTCTCTGACCCTGTGGATACAGAGGAGGTTTGTTCAATGTTTGTAATACGTGTTGAATCTACCAAGATACTGCCACCCTCTGTTGTGCTGATGTCTTGTGGTCCATTGCTTTTGTAACAGCTTCCTGATTATCTTGATATCATTGACCATCCCATGGATTTTTCTACGGTGAGGACGAAGCTAGATGGCGGGGAGTACTCCAACTTGGAACAATTTGAGGTTTGTTCAAGAAACTCTGAACTCAGATTCTTTCGTGTGATGAAGTAGACTTCTGATGAGTATGTGTTGTTGAGATGACAGCTTGAATATACAGCCAGAAAAAGTTTGTTGTAGAGCAGGTTTCTGTAGGATCCGGAGAGGTGTTCTATAGATGTAAATTGGGTCCTTCTATTTTAAGACCCAACTTTGGATAGCCAACTATGTAGAAGAATATCACATCAACATGTTAATAGATACTTTTCTGTGGTTTAGAAGAGAAGCATATTATACCAATCTATTTTGTGAATAGATATGCGTGAACTAAATGCTCCCAGTGGAATGTAAAGTTCGCGTAAAATTGCTTGTTTGAAGTAAGTTCACTTAATAGTGCCACTTCTGTTGGCGCAGCATAGCATAACATCTCCTATTTGGAAATTTCAGAAGTAAAAGAATTTCAACATGAGTTTCAGCGTGGTTTGAATGGTTCTTAATGGTATCTGTTTGTTAGTTTCATCCTAGTGGTGGTCATTCTGCTCTTGTAGCCAATGCGGTGAAGGTTAATTAACTATTCATTCACACCGAACATTTGTTTGTAGAATTGTAACGTACTGGAGTTTGTGTTCATTTGCAGGGAGATATTTTCTTGATTTGTTCGAATGCCATGCAGTACAATTCTTCCGACACCGTTTACTATCGACAGGTCAACATCAATATAGTGCTATATCTTTCTTTCTATCCATGGTGGTTTAAGTTAGAATTGTCGGTAAAGTACTATTACTGTCTCTCAGGCACGCTCCATACAAGAGCTGGCTAAGAAGGACTTTGAAAATCTGAGACAAGACAGTGATGATGGTGAACCAGAAGAACCCAAAGTGGAGAAAGTAGTGAGGAGGGGCAGACCACCAGGGAAGTCAAAAAAGTCACTGGAGAAGCCTCCACTTGACCGCTTGGCAATTGAGTTCTCGTCCGATGCAACGCTTGCTACAGGCGGCGATAATTCTGTCGGATTGAATGGTTATAATCTCAGAAAAACGACGCTGTTCAAGCAACCTTCTGATGCAGTTTTGAGAATCACGAATGGACCTCATAATGGTGAAACTCACGCTTGGCAGTCAGAATGGGAAAATGAGTTTCCAGGTTTTGGATCTTAAACTGACTAACTGAAATTTCCTCTTATGTTAGCCTTTAAAGAAGATTAAAGTCCTTTTTTTGGGTTAACTTGCAGCTTCTGTGGTGAAGGCTGTGATGAAACATTCAAAGAGAACAGATATAGTGGATGAGAACAGGCGTGATACATATAATCCTCCTTCTGCTTCTGCTCACAAGCCATCTGTCTTGAATTCGCTTGATGGAGAACTGAAGCAACTAGTGGCGGTATGTAGGAAAACAAAGTCTCCTTATTCTTGGTTTGGGAAGGAAGCTGGTTTTGTTGTGTTTTAAATGAATTATTTTGATTTCAATGCTTTTTATACACGAAGGATTGCATTTTTCACATTCAACCTCGGTCATAGGTGGTCATAATTTTCTCTGCTGAGTTAGGTCGTACATGTTTCTTGCCTTTTGAAAACCTCATCAGGTGGGTCTGAGCGCGGAGTTCGGTTATGCAAGAAGCCTAGCTCGATATGCGGCAGGCCTTGGTCCAACGGCATGGAGTGTAGCTTCTAAGAAAATTCAGCACGTATTGCCAATGGGAGTCGAATTCGGTCCTGGGTGGGTAGGAGAAAACGATGTGGTCCAGAGTGGCCGTGTTTTATCCAATGACACTGCATCCGGTGATCCATCTAACAGTCATCGACCCCCCTCAACAAGCACAAATACAACCACAACCACAAATTTGCATCAGATGTCGAACAGAGAAGACATAGCAGCAAGAAGTGGAGCTGGACCAACAACTTCATTCGACAATGGCATTACTCCCACCATAAAGTCTATGGCACTGCCGCCAGTTCAACAGCAAATTCTAGGTGGCGGATCTTCATACAACTGCAGTACTTCTCAGGTTGGTGTGCTTCCAACGACACCCTACCGGCCTTTTGGCGTGGTTCCAAGTTCGTCCACAAGTTTCAGTCAAATGCAACAGGGACATGCTTTCGATCCTAACAAGGGCAAGCAAGAAACTTTCGGCTCGGGTAAAGATTCGTCAACAGCTCCTGGCAGCATTAGACCAACAACCACAACAGGGTTTGCTGGCAGTTCTGCTGGACCTCAGGGACTACCGCCAGCACTGTCATATCATAATCAGCAGGAGCTCTTACAATTCTCGACAGACTTAAACGTCGGGTTCTTATCTCCAGGTTCGCCCAGTTCGTCTGGGGTTGTTCCGATTCGTTCCCCACAGCAGCCAGACTTGGCATTGCAGCTTTGAGGACTGATTGATTTTGAGAGGGTAGGGATGGCTTACTGGGTTATTGTCTGTCTTTTTATTTTTCCTTGGGGTAATTTTGGGCTCCACCATAATTTTAGCTTTCTCTTCTGAACTGACTAATGTGTAGGGGGAAAGGAGGGAAGTGGGAATGAATAATATGGGAGATTTAGGAGGGGATTTTGGTGAAAGGGGTCTGTATGTTGAGCAGAATTGAAGTTATATGGTGTAGGAGAGTGGGATTCTGTATAGATTTGATGGAATTGTATCAAGACTTTTAATATGTTTAGGTTAAAAAAACCACAGATTAACAGTTCATTTTTGTTGCAGTGTTGCTCATTCTCTAATTCTCTCGTCAGGCGTATTCTGATTATTTTGTAGTTATTCTGTGATTATGTCCAATTCTGTTCTGGCTGGGTAAAGGTAAGATTACAGGTGGGAATTAGGTGCTGGAAAATATATCCAAATCTCTTGCTAGTTGCTAGTTGCTACACAGACATGGGTCGTTAGTTTCACTATTACATTATCAGTTGTTTGAGACATCTCATTTCTCATTTTTCCTTGTGATGTATTATGTTACTATTATGGACTTCTATGGTTATTTTTCCCTATGTATTATGATACTATTATGGACTTCTATGGTTAATTATTCATTTCGTGATGTATTATGATACTGTTATGGACTATTTATCGTTCGTAATGTATTATGGTACTATTATTATCATGTATGATACTACTGGCCAAAGGGGAAACTTGAACTATAAAAACAACAAACAACAACTACTACTTTTGATAAAAGTTCCAGGAACTACTTCAAACAATAACAACTACAACGTCGTTTAAAAGTTCAAACAACTACGACATTTGATAAAAGTTCCAACAACTACTAAAAAAAACAACAAATAAAAGTTCCACCAAACTACTGGCCACGTTGGTTACCACTACTTCCTCTTCTACTACCTCTTGCATGTCATTGGCCACCACTTCCTCTTTGTTGGCTTCCACTGCCACTTGCTTGGCCACCACAAGTTGATGCATTATGTCCAGATTGGTTAGAGTTTCTACACACTTGTTGAGCTACACCCTCTCTTGGACAATCCATATCGTTGTGAATTCTTGTTGATCGTGGCCTCCCCGACTTCCTAATCATGTGCACATTGGGATGAAGTGTAGAGCCATTGTGCTTCTTCCAACCCTTAGGTTCACCAAGAGGTGTGAAACTTGTCTCATAACAAGACAATACTCTTTCAAGCTTGTAGATGTCATTTACAAACCTATATGGGTTAACCCCCATTCGGTTGCAAGCTGCAATGGCATGAGAGCAAGGAATTTTATGTCCTTGGAATTTTCCACACGTGCAAAACCCCACCCGATTGTTGTTGTCGAAGTGCACTGTGAGTATGTTTGAACCAGTCATGTTGGATTATTGGGAGGAGTCCGAACTGCATAGATGCCCTGACGTCGATCAACCCCCATGACGGAATGTCCAACTGCCTTTTGTGCCCACCCTTTCATAAGATCTTCGCATGTCTTGGTGTACTGTGAATGACCATTTCTGATTTCTGCTTCTGTCTCCAACCTCATCTTATCGAATTTCTCCAATAATCGCCAATAAGTATGTTGCACAAGAGAAGCTACAGGAAGTGAACGAATACCTTTGAAAACACTATTGATGCTCTCTGACATGTTGGATGTCATGATAGACCATCGACGCCCACCATTATGGTTATCACATGCTAAGCTCCAACGGATTTGATATTGGTCCACCCAGTTACCGCATGAAACATTTCTATCAGCGGCCATCTTCTTAAATTGCTCAACTTGACGATTGAACTTCACCAAACGTTTTTCTTTGGCTGACATAAGAAATAACCACACGAGTTAGATATATTCATGAAAAAATAAAATGACAATAAATAATACATAACAATAAATAACCATAACAATGAAGGCTTACCGACTCGAACCAGTTGATTATACATAATCTTGCTTTTAGTCTTTCTTTGCAAGTTGCTTGCATAGTGTCGCATGCACCACCTCCACTCCCAACCTCTTCCGATGTCACTCATGTCTTCATAGAGTCCCGCATGTCTATTTGAGATGATGCATACATCATTTCGATCGGTCAAACCTTGAAGGCGTCTTATGAACCATGACCAACTATCAGTATTCTCACTCTCCACTATGGCAAATGCAATTGGAAAAATCTTCTTCCGGCCATCAAATGAGCATGCCACGAGTAGCACTCCTTTATACTTTCCAGTAAGAAATGTTCTATCAACAACCATGACTCCTGGACAATTCTTGAATCCATCTATACAAGGTCCAAATGCCCAAAATACTCGGTGAAAGATCATATGACCTGGCTGCGATGAAGGAATTCTTACCCAATCAATCATTGATGTTGGCATTTTTCTCTTTACCACATGCAAGAACGTTTGCAAACAATCGTAGGATTCTTCCCAATTTCCATGCAACTTCTCTAATGCTCTTTGTTTCTCATACCAAGCCTTCTTGTAAGTAACTTCGATATGAAACTTATCTTTCAACTCAGCCTGCACAGTTAGAACACTCAGATTTGGTTGGGCACGTATCAAATGTTTCACGGACTCAGATATAACGTCGACACCAAGATGACGATGATCCATCGGTTGAGTCGTACTGCTACTAGAATGCATCAAATTGGCCTTTCTCACAGTCCATTCGCTTCCAACATCTCGTCATCCAAACCGCACCATCCAAGCACAATTTTCATCCTTGTGCTTCAAGCATTTGACCTTCCAGATTGAAGGTGATGACTCCACCACGACATACTGAAAGTTGCGTTGTTGTGCGTGATATTTAATCGCCATCTGTGCAGCTTGTTTGGAGTGAAATATCTGCCCCTTGTAGAATTCTACTTCGAAATCAGCAACAATAGGCATTGGAATTATGCCATATGAATCAACATATGATAATTCATCATCCTCTTCATTACCCTGCAAGAAATAATCTGGAGGACCATTAGGCTCTTCCTCCTCCTCCTCCTCCTCCTCCTCCTCATCATCATACTCGTGATCAGATGGCATACTCCATGTCTCATTTTCACCCTGACTAATCCAAGCATGTACTGCAGCACCCAAACAACAAGGGTTTTGTGCCATAAAATCGAAGAGCACATTCAAGCTATCATCATCCACAATAGGAACCGCATGATGAAATAGAACATCATTCTTCCATTCCGGAAGTTGGTAAGTGAAACCTGTGATCGTATCACTACCCTGTATTGTTTCGTCACGACGTCGTATCCTCCGAAATAGATTCTCACAAAGAAAGCGATAATTCGCCCTGCTTGGAACCGTCAACTGAAAGCTGCTTCTATCACCAACGGAAATGGCACCCGAATTGTTCTCTACTTTTTTCGATTTCCATGTAACGACTAATTCAAATCGCCTAAAATCACTACATAAAAAAACAAAATTCACTAATCACTAACTAAACAAAATCATAATAACACTTTAAGAAAATAATTAAAATAAATAAATAAATATATCTCTTACCTGTTAGCCATGGCAGGAAACCAACCGCAGAGCTCTCCTCCTCGCTTCGTAACATATTTTTTTTTTTTGTGGTGTGAGTGTGAGCACTACTGGCTGGCACCCGAAACCCACTTATATAGTGGTGAGAGAAGGGGCGTTGGGAGAGAGAACATGCGACCACGCCTGAGAGTTGGGCTGAACGGATTTTAATTCGAGAAAGGGGAAAGTAACACACGGATCCGCGAGCTCGCGCTTTTCTCCTGCGGGTTCGCTTGGGCTGCATTTTTTCTTTTGCTCGAGCGGATTCGTTTGAGCTGTTCCTTCACAACACTCCATCTCCACTCCTCCTCTGACCTCTCTCTTCTCCTTCCTTGGCTTCCTAAATTAGCCATGGCAGAATCAAGACAATAACTCTGCAACCCGCCGCCGCAGCATTTCCTTCCGTCTCGGGAAACAATCCCAGAATACTCGAGTTATTAAAAAAAATTCCCTAAATACAGTACTTATAAAACTAATTCCCAAAGTACAGCAGTTTCAACATCACTGTCTTGGACAAAGACAGTGATACTAATCACCGCTTTCGTCCAAAACAGTGAAGCAGAGGGAACCTATCACCGCCTCAGACAAAGGCGGGGAACGTATCCCCGCTTTTGACATCAACAGGGAAGGCATCCCCGCTGCAGTCAACAACAGTGATTGCCTCACCGCTGTTGTGCAAAACAGTGATATTTACCACGTTTTACAGAGCCCTGGTAGGTGGGGAAGTAGGTAACAGCTACCTAGCTATCACCGCTGTTGACTAAGGCGATGATGTGTTCACCGCCGTGGTCCAAAGCGGTGATTAGCTTTCATTTTTTCCTATAAAAACCTACCCCCACTTCCCTCCTGCTGCCTTACAGCAAATCAGTACAAAAATTATCGTTTTGTTAAGTCGTTGTCGCAGCTCGTTCCTCCGTAGTTTACTGCTCAAGAAACTCGTCGGGATTCGGTATGTTAGAATTATGTATTGTTTACATTTTGATGATGTGTTAGAATTAGGTATGTTAGAATTATATATTTAGATTAATTATGATATGATAGATGTTAGTTAGTTAGTACTGAATTTAGATTAATTTGTTTAGTTTTCTCATGATAGATCGGGATTGAGTATGTTATAAGTATGTATTTTTTACATGTTGATGTGTTAGTAATTATATGTCTGTATTTAGTGAATTGCGGTTATTGGAAAATATGTTATGATATATTTAGATTAATTATGATATGATAGATGTTAGTTAGTTAGTTATGAATTTAGATGAATTTGTTTAGTTTTCTCATAATAGATCAATTAGTTGCATTTTATTATCGCTTTGGATGATATTGTTTTTGTATCCATAATGTACTAATTATATACTATACTTAATTATTATAAATTGCAGACATGGGTAAATTTAAGAAGTTTCGGCTTATTATTTATTGGAATGGTCGGGTGACAAACTCGAACATTTGAGTCGAGATTCTCGTGGCAAGAACTCCATGACAGGTGTGCAGAAAGGACTTGTACGGGCGGGCAAAGGAGAGTTCGTCAAATTACTTACCGGTATCCCAACATGAGTGCTGACGGAGTCATGTACGAAAAAGTTGACATAAATGATGATGACGACGCGAACATGATGATACAGTTCATATCTGAGAACGAGGTGCGGCTTGCAGAGGTGTATGTCGAGACCGAGCCGGTCGGTGAAACTCATTCTCACCAGTATTCTTATGATGATGGTTTTGCAGGAGGGTATGGCTGGGGTGGTAGTTCAAGTAACTACGGAGCAGGTACTTCT